ACTTGGTAAGCACCCCCAGTAGCTAATTCTCTGAGTGACTAAGGCATATGCTAGGTTTCAGCTGCCTGCTCTCTTTCCACTTCTCACTAGTCTAGCTCTATGAGGGTGATAGACACTCTGTTTGATTCCCTGGAATGGAAAGAGGACCACTGAGAAGCTGCAGAGACAGAGCAGGATAGATGCTTCGAGTAAACCCAGCTCTCAATCCTAGCACAGGATAGCTTTCCTTCTGACATAAGAAGAGAGCATGAGTAGCAACCTCATGCCCACTCCCCCAACCTATGAAAATCAGACTGCAGATAAGTTGGAGAACTGGGTTAGAGAGAAAGGGGAAGGGAGAGAGCAGTTTGCTAGAACAAGCTAAAAAAAGCACAGGATCAATCTTCTGGGTGGTAGTGAAGGGACTTGAAGTGTTTGTTTGCATGGAGGTAAAACATTGTCCTGCTGGGACACAAAGAGGGCATAGCATTAGTTAGGTGCAAAACAAGGAAATGGAAAATGAAGTCTAGACTGGCGATCAGATGAGGACTTGGAGCATGTAAGGCATCAGGAGATGGATTAATGGAAGAAAGGTGTGACTGAAAAACTAAGAAGTGGGGAAAAAACTGAGGGTCAGCAGAGGCAGAGGAGGGATTTGGGGAATGGAGGAGAAGTTTGAAAAGCATTGGGAATTCAAAAACCTAAAACTTCATTGGTGAGCCTAGGGTCAGCAAGAAGAGGGACTGCTGCCAGAGTAGTAACTGTGCTGCCTTTGTGAGGCATGAAAGTCAGGCATAGGATGCATGGCATGTTGCAGCTAGAAGTGAAGTGTGGACTGGGAGAAAACGATAGACTGAATAGTCAGTAGAGAACCAGAAATGTATGGAGAATGCACAAAAAAAATGTCAGTTTTGGGGGTAGATGGAAAGAACAACATACAGGAAAGCTTTGGGTGAATGGACAAAAAATGGGCATAGTTTGGGAGTAGGAAGATAGAAAGAATTATTGCTGTGAGCAGAACAGAGAGATAATAGGAAGCAGATCAGAAAATGTGGATCCAGAATATTTACATAATGCACAATAGAAAGGGTGTGAAGAGGCTGTGTGTGAATGGGTTAGGAGCAGAGGAAAAACCTGTGTGATATAAAATAGAAAATGAGAAATTTATTGGTGAAGAGAGGGAGAAAAAATTACACACAGAAATGGAAGGTTATATGGAGAAAGAGACGAGCAGAGAGAGAAGAAAAACAAATGGAGAAAAGAGAAGGTTTTGTAAGGAAGGATAAAAAATAGGGAGCAGGTACCTGTAATTGTTGTATTGTTCAACAAAAGTCCTGATAGCAAAACAGTATATAAACGTCAAATATTTGTTTGTATGGTACCTTGTGGTGTGGGATGAGGGGTCTTGGGAGACCTGGCTGGGAGCTAGGCATGGGCACCTAAGGAACCTATAATATGTATGGAGAAGAGGATACTCTGCTTTATTATTTTTAAAACAGAACAAAAATAAAAACAAGAAATAATATTTTTAAACCAGTGTTCACACCAGTTGTTAAGAATGTTTTAATGTATTTTTGGGTTAGGAAAAGTATGAACATGTTGAGGCCCATGGATTTTAATATATCTTTATTGGTGTCTTAACTTTTAAGGATATCTCAGCAACCTGAAATCTAGCCAGCACTGAAAAATGAATTAAAAGGGCATTTCAAGAGCTGCTGATATTCTCTGCCAATTTTAATGGTGTATGCTCTTTTTTTCCCCAAATATCCTTTCCCCCCTATTTTAATAGCTTCTCACTAATAGCTTCTCACCCAGTTGTTGTATTAAAGACCCATATAAAGTCAAGTGTACAGTTGACTCAATGCAGCTTTAAATGCAATTTTTTATGTCAACAGCATTCTTTAACTAACACAATTATCCATCAACTTATTCTGGAATAGTTGATAATTTTGATAGTTGATACATCATTTGGGGTTTAAATTCTTGGCCTAAAATTATTTAAAATGAAGGCAATTATACTCAGTATTTCACAATTCATATTCTTTTTTCTTGTTTCTCCACCGAATCATGTCACTTCCCTGCCTTTGGCTTGCCTAACTATACACCTGCATAGCATATTCATTATCAAAATTTCAAAAGAGTAATGATTGCTGATAGAGACAACTGTACTATCCATGCACTAATAAGTGCATAGCCCAAAAGAATAAGATTTGCCCTAGTAAATGTATTACCATAATATTAAAAACCAAGACAATTCCGCAAATTTTCCACATACAAAAAACTAGAACTCTTGGTTCCAAAATGATACCTTCCAGTCGATCTAATAAAAGGTATCATTTTGGAACCAAGAGTTCTAGTTTTTTGCTTGTCTTTTTGTCTCAGACCAACATGGCTACCAAGTACACTCCTGGAGCAAATTTTCTAGTAACTAGCAATCTGAAAAAGTTGTTAACTCATTTTAATTCAGCCAGCATAGGTCAATCTTGGGAATAGGGAGCTAAAATTCTGGCAGGAATGCTGGTTGCTTTCTTATGAAGGTTTGTTTTTTGCTATCCAGACATGAAAACATCCAAGTCTGGCCAACTGATAAACCTTTCCTATTGTTCAGTTTTTAGATACTTAGGAGAGACTTGATAGAGTTTAACACCTAAAATTTCTGAAAATTCCATCTACACTGAGCATGCTCCATCTTGGGGGCTTCGGAGCCTAAGGATTTTTTCTCACAGTTGCTCTTCCCAGCAACTACAAGACACTGTAGGTGCTGACAGAAGTGTTGGTTTGTCACACAACTGGGCCCCTGAAGTGCTTAACAGCTGTGCCTTTACAGAAGTACACAGCTGCAGAGTGCTTTAACAGTGCCCGATCACGCAACAATCTGGAACCTCATTACATGAGACTTCAGATGAAGGCACTCCAAAGCAGAGTGCCTTTGTTAACTTGTGTCAGCGCTCACTGGAAGCAGGGCCAGGCTGACGAAGCCCAGCCCTGCCTCCAGTGCTGTCTGCAAAATGGGAGGGGGAGAAGGGAGGGTGGGGAGTTTCATTTGGGGTTTGCCCAGCCTGAGCTACAGGGTGGAGCAGATGGATTGGAGCCTTCCCACAGGCAGCTGGGGAGTTACAGCAGGGAGCGCGCATCTATCAGTGCCCCATGGTGCTGAGTTTCACAACTGTTCTCAACACATGTCCTGCTGAAATGTTAAGGAAGCATGGGCTTAACTTGGAATATTTTTGTCACACAGAAAAGGACCGTGCTCCAAGAATAAACCAGGAATGCATGGTTAATGAGCATATTTCCTCTAGGATTTTGGCCTCATATGCTACAGAAAGTGGAATGTGTGTAGTGAAAGTAGGTACATAAGGAATTGCTGGAGGAGAGAGTATCACTTCAATGGCTAAACAAAGATAAATGTTTCCCTAAAAGCTAGTAAGAATTATATCTTACTATAAAGTGCTAAAAGTTCAAGTAGCCTGAGAAACTAGAACCTAATCATCTCAAACTGGACTTCTAAAATCAGTCTATACTTTTGCTTTTAATCTTTTTGCCTCTTTTTCCCACCTCTAAAATGAGGACAGTACCAGCTCCTCACCTTATAAGACATGTTATGAGGAAAATTAATTTATGTATGTAAAGTGTTCAAATAAAGTTGGAATGAGTATGTTAGAAGATTGAATTTTTCTCCAGGGTAGGCCTTGAATAATATGCAATAGTGAAGAAGGTGTGAAGACATATTTGGGTAAAATACTGGATAACTGCTCATTAAGTGAGCACTGTCTATCCTAAATACTAAATAAGGCAAGGGTTTTAAGAAAAATATAATATGCAAATAAGAAGTGCAAAAATTATATACAAATAAAATAATAAAACACAAGATACATACATAGGGGCCAAATTAAATTTGCATGGGCAACTAATTCTGGCATTTCCTAAATTCTGAATGCTTGACTTTGCAACCATAGCTATCTTTAAATGTAGTTTTTTACATGTAATGTACATGTCCTTACATTCTGGTAAGGACTATTTGTCTTCTTTGTATTTATTTAGACAGGTTTAATAAGTTTGAAGCTTGTTGACTTTTGAATATATTGCCACTGCCTCTTTTGTGGTACGCCAGTAACAACTCTTTAGGAGTTGGGAAAAGCGATTAAATAACACACAAAAGATGTCAAATGATACCGTTAAGATGATTGACTTTAAAATGCAAAATAAAATCAATTGAGAGCGATTACTGGAGCTAATCATTTTAGGCTTGCCTTTGAAAAATGCATCTTCATTTACAATTGAAAACAAATGCTGTTTTTGCTGTTTAGTATTCATGTAGGTAGAGTTAGCCTGTTGACTAAAGAAGACATTATAACATAAATGCTATCTTCAAAATGTATTCTTTACTAATTTCCTGGTGTTTGTAATATATATATTTAGCTCCACGGAGGAAGTAATATGGCTCCCTTTAGTATTCCAAGTATAAATTTACTCAGCAGATTTGGTTTATTAAAATGTAAATAATGGGATATGGAACATTTGGCAAATGAAAAATCCAAGAGGGGTATAAACAGTTTTATTTATCGTTCATGTTTCAAGTCACTTATTGAAACACACCTTGCAGTAACAGCCACTGAGTATTAGCTATGAAGTTCTCATCATGGCTTGAATAGTATCTAACTGGTCAAGCTATTTGTATGGTTAATAGGTTCACAGTGTTTTAAATGTACCTCAGGAAACAACATCTTAGGTTACATTCAGAAAAAAGTACATTCAGTATGCCTATGATTCAGTTCCACATTGTTTCAAATTAATTATTCCTCTTTAATTGCTTTATATAAACAGAAATGACCTATTAATTTAAAGAAAATCTATCAGCACAGAATGAATTCTCTCTTATAAACAAGCAAGATGAACTTGACCTTGTTTGAACTTGTTTTGATGTGGCCCAGATGGTAGGCTACATGCTTGAATAGCAGGCTAGAGCTGAGGAAAAACTCATATAGCAAGATCTAGATTTATAGCTGTTTGCAAATTCCTACCTTGTATTGTCCTTTCAGCATCTGTTCTGCCCCCGCTGCGGTCAGCTTCTATCTCTGGGGTCAGAGAGTCTAGAAGCACAGAAAGGTAAGACTGACACATATTTCATTCAATTCTTATAGCCTTTTTTACAACCTGTTACTCCAATGCTGAATTACAATACAATCAACCTTTGTCACTTTTTAAAATGTTGAACAATGACTGGAGGCCAAGACAATCTTTTTTTGTAGACTATAGGAAGATTAATAAGCAATAGATTTTTAAGCCGGGGGGGGGGGGGGGGGGGGGGGGCGGGGAGTCTCCAAAAATTAACTTCTCAGGCCAATAATGTAAAGTTTTTCTAATTTCATTTGAATTAAATAATTTGTGCATATATTATATAAAATGGCATCACATTGAATTGAGACGTATCATCAAAAGGAGCAAAAAAAGAAAACTTATTTCTGCTACAGCAGAAAAACACTTTTCATCAATACAATCAACTCTGTCTGGCACTTAAACTTGGGGTTAACAACACACAAGCAAAAAGTGGCTTCTTACCATTTAGGACCCTGAGACTATCTGTTGAAGTTGCCTGTTTCAGTGTCTGTTCTGCTTGTTCCCGACGCTTAGTCTCAAATTCAAGTGCTTCCTGCAATTTCCTCTTTGCTTTCTTTTCTTTCTTTAACCTTTTCTGAATTATTGCTGGGAAAAAGAAAATCAGTATAGTCAAGTTTAGTTCTACTTATGGGTTTCTGAAATGATACATCTGCAATATTTCATATTCTCTGAATCACTGTCCATATGTAGTTATGACATGCTTCCACTGCATTGAGTTATTTTAACAATTATTCTATACTGTTAGAAGCTATATGTAATATTCAGGTACTGTTTAAATGATTCTCTGATAAATATAGGCAAAGATGTACGAAGTCCAAAATTCCACAACCATGGATCTGGTCATCAATTTTACCTTTTGCATTATCTCACATGAATATTCTCATTTCTTGCAGTTTTGTTTTCGGTTGTCTTACTCTTCCAGAAATAAGTCCACGTGAGCAGACAGCTGGTGCGTGCTCAGTGACAAGTTATCCTCTGCTTGCCTGTGTGTCTCTCTCCCACAAGGGGGAGTTGTAACTGTTTGCAGTATCCCTACTCCACCTGGGTGCTACACCTCAGGCCTGCTAAAGAGGAGGCTTAGAAAAGCAGATATGGGAACAGGAATTTGCAGTGTGATATCCTTTACTCTTCAGCCTAAGACACCAGCCTTTGTAGACTTTCTGCATTTTCAGCCATGTTGCTGCTGCCTTCCCCATTTTTCCTCATGGTGCCCAGTCTCCTTCCCAACTTACATTTCTTTAACCAAATCTTATTAGTTGTGCTCTTTTTTTATTGTGTCTCCTTTCCCCTCCACTGATTCCCTCACATTCTTTATCAAGCCAGAAGGAGGTGTATAACATAAAACTCTCTCTAAATCCTGCAATAAAGCTACCTGAACTTTGCAGCAACAACAGTGCTGGAGTACCTGTCAGACTAGACATCAGATTGCTGTCTAAAATGTATGGAAAAATATACAAACAAATTAGGTGTGCTATAAAATTAAATGTCCTGGTTCCAATCTAGCAAGCCTTCCATCTACACACAATGATCTGTTTTAACTAGAGTTCTGCTTGCAAAGAGCTTGCAGGACCAGGACAAAAATGGAGCACACAGGTGGCACTTATTTGGACAGAATTCAATATAAATCCTCATTTCTGTATGCTGTCAATGTGCTTCTCCAGACCTTATAGCCATAGATTGTATGACTTTTGTGTCACGGAGATTAGAGAGCCTTATTGCAGAATCTAGATCCCTGATGCAGTGATGTAGCATTTTAGGAGTAGCATTCTGGGATTCATATAGGGGTTTGGACCCTTGAGATCCCTTCCAATCCTATGATTCTGTGAAAGTAATGTGAACAGACCTTTGTAAATCATGGCAAGTCAAAGTAAACTGCTATAGAACATGTGAGCATGTTTCCCTCCCCCTGACCACGAGTTCCTTCCTCAGTTTTCCATAATTATTGTGCAAGTAACATGGGTCTTTCACACCTTCTTATTTCTGCCAATAACCCATTCTCTGTAAAGCCTACCACAATTCAAATGACCAAATAAGAAATGCTGTTGAAAAGTAAAAGCCATTTTTAAAGCCATATGCTAAGACCAAGGCATTCTTGGGGCAATCCAATGCATTTTGTGTCTGAACAATTCTCTCTGCATGGTACACAAGTTCTTTGGGCCTAAGACATGGATTCTTTCACTCTGCATAGTACCAACCACACTCTGTATTGGTATACACTATTGATGCATCAGTGAATTAGTAAATAAGAGTAAATTTATCATCTTCTACAAATTATAAACTAAATGCATCTTGAGTCACTTCAATGTTTTTCATGATAAGTACTTTGCTAGTGACTTTAATAAATGAGAAGCAAACATATGTTGCTTTTTGAATTAAAATGTCATCACGGCTGACACTTTGTAGATGTGACTATGGCAGTCAGAGACAGAATTAGCAAACCCTTATTGTGTAGCTGCCCACAAAAGAAATATTATCCTGCTTTTACTACCTGATCAGACACCAGTCACTAATTGGAAGACATGCATATTGGAAGGAAAAGGTACAGTAAATAAGATAAAGAAAAAAACACTGTTGTAGTAAATACAGTGACAGTTAACTGCTGTTGCCTAAAATGCCTGAAAAATTCAGATAAACATACACTAAACAAACAGAGATTTCTGCTGAATTTATATGACCTATTATGGGTAGCTATTTGGATTGGTTACCTAAAACTGGATTCATATAAAGGAATACAAGCTGTATGTGAAGAACATATGTTTATGTTCCAAGTTTTAAGTATATTGCTAGAATTCTCAAACATATTCATAGTGAGTCACATCCTGAGAATGATCTTATGGGCCTTCTCTCCCTTGCACTAATGCTTCCATTAATGTTTGTGCAGTGTCCTTTTGGAAATGATGATTGCTTCCATGGAAAATGATCATTAAAATAGCATGCAGGGATTTTTATATTCCCTTCTAGCAAGAAATGTGTTCTTAAAATAATCATACCTTTCCACTTTATTCTTTTCACCTCCTTGATTCTGTTTATCTTCAAGCACAGCCCATCACCTATCATCTTTTTATATAAAGATGGCCTCTAGGGGAGGCAACTGCCATCATTATTTTACTTTATCACATGTACCACTTAAGTGCCAAATCTCAAACCTCCTTGCTCTAACTGTCCTACCAGCTGTAATGTCATCACTAGTGGTACAAATCAGAAAGACACAATATGCAGTATTGATGATACAACAGCCAATTACCTCAGTATCCCACAGAAAAGCAGGGATTATCAAGTGATCCTTCTCAGTCTGTAATCTTAACCCCACTGCTGTACCTCAGTTTGCTTGTCTGTGAAACAGGCATACTACCCATTGTGTTGTGGGCATGTTGCGAAGCATAGAATTGTGCAGTACTGTAAAGAATACCTGAAATCCTCAAGGAAGTTGTTTATAAGGTATTATCGGTATAATCTTACCAAATTAAATAGGTCAGGTACAGTTTTAGTGAAGATTCAGTGAACAGCTGTGGGAATTATTAATAGTTATTAAGTTTAATGATTCATTCTCATCTGTTTAAAAGGTAGTGTGACAGTCATGTAGCTGTGGTGATCAAGAAATTATGTGAGAGGCAAGGATCTCTTAGGGTGATATCTTTTATTGGACCAACTATGTATTTGGGATGAAGTTAGACAAGTTTTTAAATCTCTTGCAGTTGAAAGCTGCTTTAACTATCCCAACTACACAGTTGGTCCAATAAAAGATATCAGCCTCAGAAATCCTTGCCTCTGTTTAAAAGGGAAATTTATAGTGTAACAGTCATGCCCTCTAGTGGGTAGAGGCATTAAATTAGGGTTATAGTGCTACTTAATAATGTAACCATACTCAGGATATAATACTACTGATTATGAATCCAAGCATCCTCAGTTCTACACAGACATTTCTTGCTTAGCTATTTTGTCAAACAATTAAACTACCCTAAGAACAGAATTATACATCTAGCATGCCAAAAATATAGATGACTTGTCATGATCCATGTTGAACATCCTGTGAGCACAAGAGGTTAACTGCCCCCTACAATGTAATTAAATAACAATGCAATGATAAATGCAGAAAAATAGAGTAGTAAACCTAGAAGAATACTCTCAAAATGCAAACAGTTCATGAAAAATATTTTTAAGTGCCTGACATTGATAGTTATTGTTTACAATGTCAAATAAAAGAGCTAAAATGAAATTGAAAAAAGCATCTGATGCATGCATATCCTTTATAGTGGTTTAAAGTCAACACCTGAATTGCTGTTCCTTTTACCCTAATTCAGATTCATAGCAAGCCCTTCTATGAACAAATAGGTAGCCTAGTATGGATAAACTAAAAGATTCACTATTCAATATTGTTATATCTTATTACCTCTGGGTTGCCCAAAATTGTGTATCTTATGAGATGCTTACAATATTAGATAGTTTAGTACTCATAAAGTTCAAATTGTTGTTGTTATGCTATAATAAAGAATTAACCAATAATATTATTAATATTAACTTGGACTTTATGAATGCTGAACTGTCTGATCTCCTAAACATTATTCCTATTGTTATTATCATCTAGTCACATAAAAACAAAAATAATGGTGCTAAAAATTGGTGATGATAAACAAAAATTAATAAAGGCTGAGTTTGGATTAACGGAATGCACCTCCTGCTAAAAGCCGAAATTGGTCAAAGTTTGGTTTTATATCCAACAACATGATTTCATAATTTTGAATGTGTTATGAATAAGTATATGACTGTCTTTACATCTTCATGACATGTTATGACAAAAGAGCTTCCAGCTAAAAGCTGAGAAAAGGGAAGGTCTGGGTTCAAATCCTGATCAGTTATTATGCAGGATCAGGCAAGCTACTAACTTCCTAAATTGCAGTCAGGGTGGCTATAAAATGAGGTAGAGAGAAGGGTTCTATTCAAAACCAGATGTTGCATCAGAAATGAGCTTTCCTGGGTAAATAAATTACAAAGAGGTTATGGGTGCTTACAAAAGAATCTAAGTGTTTGTGAAATACCTCTGTTCTTCTGTTCCACAGCCAACTGTTTTTCAAGAGTTTCCCTCAGTTCTCGTTCCCTGAACAACTCCATCTTCAGCTCTGTCTTTTCCAGTTGGACTTGTTTCTCTTGAGCTCTGGCATTGTCTATGGCAACCTTTAATAGGCCCTGTTCAAAAATAAAGTTGAACAGTGTAATGTTGGGGAATGTAAAACAGCTGACATAATAAATAACTGCTGTTGTTCTTCCTTGATTAGACATGTGAGATTTTACAAATGAAATAATCCTGTTACCAGGTCACTGTTACATGGGGTCACATATCAGCCTAATAAGCCTTCCTATTACCATTTTTTTATACTGAAAAACATTTTAACAGGTGGACAAGCTATCTGAAAAACACATAGGGTGAAGTTTTCAAAAAGAAAAACTTCACTCAGGCTTCATTTGTGCTTACAATGTATGCAAAAAGGTTGCAGGACTTCACCTATCTGAGACAGGAAAGCACAACAGTATCACCCTGTACAAATGAGGGCTTCTGCATCTAAGGAGGAAGTTTGTCCCCAAGTGAAAACAAGTGATGGTCTCAATATCGCCCATTTTTCAGTTTTCCAATGAAGGACAGCTTTAATTTTCATTGTGAGCTCCCTATGACCCTGGCTAGTGGGACAGCATTGTTGTTGTTCTTCTTCTAATTATTATTATTATTGGGTGCATACAGCCATTCACCACACCTGGTCTACATTCATGATACTTAAAGTCATATGAATGGAGACAGGGATTGGCCTGTACAAGCATTCACTGCCCCAGGAGCCACATGGGGAAACTGGTATAAATAATTTGGAGTGGGAAGAGACAGGATTGGGAGCAAGGGGAGTAGAAGGTCCACAGTGATGGTTGATGGGTCTGGTGGGAGGTTGGTGGGATTGGGGGGCTTGAGGGTCTTCAGGGGGGGCTGTCCACCTGGGGATGGGGACTTGGGAGCTAAAAATAGCCTGGTCATGGTTGAGGAGGTAGAAAGAACACAGATATGTTGAGGAGCTGGGCCTTCCCAGCCCCAGCCCCAGCACTGCACTCCAAATGTATGCAGGCATTCGAAAGATTGGGTTAATCCATTCCCAGTCTAAGTTAGTTTACCTCCTCAGGTGAACTAACTTAGATCTGGCCCACTATTTTTGGGGGGGATCTAAATCCGTGTGTACCAGATTGCAACTGCTGGGGCAGCCATGATGCCTCTCAGTGAAACTGCAACTCCTGTCTGGCTCATACTCTATGGCCTCTCTCTCTAGTTCACTCATCTGCCATGCCTTGATCTTACTATCAAACGGTGTTTAGGGAAGGCTACCAACAGGCCTCAGTGTGAGCCTCAAAACTACTAGTTTTCCCCTGGATCTCATTCCACTCCTCCATCCTAACAGGTCACTCCTGGCTTGACTAGGCCCCTTTAGGGCACCTGTAGCCTTAGGGGCAAATTGTATGGCTCCTTTCCCTCCCCTACACCATGCCCCAAGCCTCACAGGTGTTACAATAATGTTGTTGCCTCTGTTGGGGCCTCGGCTTCCCCAGCTTCCGTCCCTTTCAATCTCACCAGACCCCTTTGCCTAGGCCCACTATGTCAGGCCTGGCATGAAGGCACTAGCTTCACTCTAATCACTCTCTGGGTCCCTGGGCTTTTTCCACCAGGCCCCTAACCCACTAGGGCTCCTGGCCCCTATCTCGTTGTGCCCCTCCCAGACACTGAGCTCCTGGTCCCTGTCTCAGTGTGCACCTCTTGGGTAGTGAGTCTCTGTGACCCCACATCTTACTGTGTCCCTCTCAGGCAGTGGGTCCCTTCACCCTGCCCCCCATATCTATTTGGTAGCCTTATACTGGCCCTCACTGGGCTCAATAATAGCTCAGTCCTTGAGCCCAGCCCTGGCAAGGGCTCCAGGCACTTGTGTGCCTCACAGGCACTAATGGGACCTCCGAAACCACCCCTTATAGTCCCAGTCCAAACCACCAGTATAAACAGCAACATAAATATAAGTCCCTGGGCTATAACATAATAGTAACAATGAAAACAGCCCTCTTCCCCTTGAAGACGTAAAATCTTTACCCCTAATATAGCCTGCCTCCTTGCCAAGGTAACTTGTGAGCTCCTGGGGCCTCACTACTCCTGTAGGAAGCACACAGACAGTCAGGTATCCCTGGGTATCTCTCCTGGGCAGAAGCTGCTTCCCCCAGCAGCTTCCAGGGAAAGACTCCTCTGCCAGCCTCAACCTTGATCTTATATGATCCCAGGGTCTTGCCTACATCCAGTCAGCTGACTGTTTGCAGATGTCTGCTAACTGCCTCATTTGCTCTGTTGCCCTGGCAGCTGCTGCACCCTACCTGCCCTGCAGCACTCCCTGCCTGGGCTGCCTTTATCTTAAAGTAACAGAGAACCTGGGCTCTCTGTTACACCCTGTGAACATCTGCATAGAAGGACATTTAGATCAACCTAACCCAAGTTACACCAATCCAAATGTAATGGCTGTATGTACTCATTATTAGTGGTGGTGGCAGCATCATGTTTTTATTGTGTCCTTATAAACCACAAATGAGATCAGAGTCTCTTTCTAAACAGAACATAGACACATAGTCAAAAAGATTCCTAGCTCTAAAAAATCTTCTCCCTGCATTGAAGTTGCGACCCTATGGCAGAAGACAAACTACAAGTACTTCACCTTCTCTTGACAAAAAAGCAGGAAGGGATTCTCAATATCACATTCAATTTATGCTCAAGGAAATAGAAAGAACCCAAAATGGCCAATAGTCTGATAGGTATGCAGCTGGTATGTACCTGGTTAGGTACATGTAAGGGAATTTTGGTTCAAGGTCTCCTATGTCTGATGTGAAGTAGGGTCTTAAATTTGGATCTTCCATATGCCAAGGGACTAATTAGAAGATGGGTAATATGGAAGAAAGTCTCTGGTTGAAGCTGTTCTGCTCTGCATAAATAATTACACTTCAGTAGAACAGATTTCTGAATCTGACTTTCTCCATATCCCTGGTGAATGCTTTGACAACTGGGCTATAGAGTTAGTCCCTCCCTTTGTCCCAGTGAATATTTATAATTTATTTATACAAAGTGAAATAGCTCCACAAGACAAACTGAAAAATAAGGACACAGACAGACTTTAAGCTTGGTGGCTAAGCACTCACATGGGTTGAATGAGACCAAGAATCAAGTCCCTCCTGAAATAAATATTTAATTTGGAATATAAAGTCTGAAAACAACTATGACAGGACAGCTTGAAGGAAATGGCCCCAAAATAGTCAGTATCCTGGGTGCTCAAGACAGTATCTGGGGTGCTCAGTTACATGAAAAAGTTTAGATTCAAATTCTTGCTTCTAATCTGGCAGCATGAAGAATTGAGACAATATTATGCTCTTGGTAAAGTGTCCTGCCACCATGTTACTATATATTCTGAGATGTAGGGTGATCTCTTTCCAGCCCTGATTTCCAATGGAGAACTGTTAATGTCTTAATGAGTTACTGAAAAAAGAATGAAATATTGGAAATATTTGCAGAAAGGGAAAACGGGTGCCCACCAAGTTCTCCTCGTCATGTCTCTTCTTCTAGCATTACTGTTTTCAAGGTCTACCAAACCACGTCCTCCAGACTCCTTATTAAGAATCCTTTTAAGAATTTTAACCATCTTCTTAGTGGTTTTCATTCCTTTTCATACTCAACATTTTGCTTCAATCTTCTCTAATTCAGGGTTCTATCCTTCACAATGCTAGCACACTCAAAGCAAAGGGAGTGATCCTTCTGCTGTATTTAGGACTGGTGAAGCACCACCTGGAGTACTGATGTGTAATGTTGGGCACTGCACTTCAAGTAAGACATGGAAATACTAGAAAGAGTACAGAAGAAAACAACAAAAATGATTTGAGGTCACAACATGGTTGGAAGAACTGGGATTATTTAGTCTGAGAAATGGAGGACGGAAGATGGGACAACTCTCTTCAGATACCTGAAGGCTGCTTATAAAGAAGATGGCGATGAACTATTCTCCGTATCTGTAGGGGAATGGACAAGAAAATTGCAATGATGAAAATTTAGGTTGGCTATGATGAAGGACTTTCTAAATATGAAAGTGATTAAGCACTGAAATAGGTTATCTAGAGGGGTTCTGGAATCTCATACTTTCAAAGATTTTAAAAGCAGGTTGGACACAATTGTCTGGAATAGTTTAGAAAGGGATGATCCTGTTTTGAGCAGAAGCTGGACTTGAGTAACTGAAGTCCCTTTCATCCATATTTTTCTACAATTCTGTATTTCATAAAAATAGTTTAAAAGTTGTGATAATCCTCATGAAAAGACAGAAAAACTGTTTAAAATATTTATAAAGAAAGTCATGTTTCCATTATGAAACCTCAACAGAATTTTATGGGGCTAAACAAAATCATACATACATGTTCAGAACCAAGAACAACTTAAAATAAAAAAAATCCTTTTGCAGAGTATTTTTAAGTTTTAATGAAAATCTGTACTTTTTCCAATATTTTTTCTTAAAATAAATCTATTTATTTAGATCCTCACAATCATTTTTCATATACAGGACACTTCTGAACTAACAACTATTTTAAAACAGTGGACAAAAATGTGTGTTTTACTTCTATTATGTTATCCTCTTCTGATACTGCTCAACTTCAAGAAGATTCTAATCTCCTCCCTTTTTTCTCTGACCAGAGTATGTGGATAACCCAAATCACTCATAATCCAAATCAGGAAAAGCCATATAAAAAGCCTCCCTGATGTAAAATAAATTAGCCCAGAATTTCTAAGCTGCAAACTACCCTCCCCCGCATTCTGACAATCCATCTTGTTTAACAATAAAATCGAGCTGCTAAGGCAACTGCCATCTTTACTCAATTCAGCAACATTCATGTACATGTTTCTTCTTCATCAGGAACAAACAATTAGTAACAAATGAAAGAGATCATTACATCAAGTGCCCTTTTAGATCACCCCAATTAAAACTTTAGTTTAGCTGTATTTTAATTCTAAGATACCAAATTCTAATTTTCTGCTCTGATTGCTCTTGTTGACTTATCTTTGAAAGATGTACTCTCAGTGCAAAGCCTAGAGATTATTTAGCAAGACGCCAATGTTGGCACCACTTAATGTGTTGATTGGTTGTATT